TGTAGTATAGACACAGATGCAAAATAGCCTCTAAATATAGCCTCAGTCATTTCAATAATTCAGTGCATGACAAGTGCTTAACTGCAGACATCGATCAGAAACTAATTCAAGCAACGGTGTAAGAATAAGTGCACTCTGAAGTATTGACTGTGATGCGAACGTGACTTTGGCGATGACGGGAACGTGCTTTCTCTCTGACTGACTGCGGCCTGATAGCTCTTAATTAGTTAGTCTTGATTAAATTGCAGCAGATTCAGATTCACCAGAAAAAGGAAGTCATGAGCGATGATCCCTGTCATTTCAGCTCCATTGTCTGTGTTCATTACCGCTTTAATACTGCCAAACTGTTCCGGCACAATTACCATAATTATACGGCGTTTGACTTTTTTGTTACAGGCTGGAAAATGAGTAAATTGGGTAAAAATAGAGCAAATGACGTGGAAGAGATAAAAACACCTACGCTATCTGGAGAAGCACTTAAAATGGGTTTTGGATGTGAAACGACCCAGGGTTTTTCCAGAGTGGAGTTTGCATGTTCTCCCAGTGTCGATGCAGGGGCTGAGTCATTACAACTTCCCTTGAAGTTTAGAATCATTTTTGTTTAATTTGTTTTAATGAAAAATGCAATCTATCAAACAAAACTGGACTGTGTTTTTCTGTCTATTAAAACAGTTCTGTTTAGCTGTGCACATAACTGAGGGATTTCATTTTCACTTATTTTAATGTACGCAGATTATATATGATTTTAATGTCTTGTTTGGTTCAGCACTTTGAGTTGCCTTGTGTATGAACTGTGCTATACAATTAAACTTGCCTTGCCTTGTCTAGCAACAGTGGTAGTATAGTAGGGGTAGTAGTTGTATCAGTAGTATAGCAGTAGTGGTAGCAACAGCAGTAGCAGTAGTAGTAGTGGTAGAAGCAGTAATGGTAGTGGTAGTTAATTATTATTTATTTCATTCATATGTACACAAAATAGAAAATAAACCTAATACAAAATCATTCTAATCTTATTTTTTGTATGGAAAGCTGCAAACAAATAAAGATATGTGTGAACTGAAAGGTTAGACGGACATTGCATCTTCCATCTACTAATCAGCGACGGCTCCAAACACATTTCCCACAATTCTCAAATTATTATGATTCTCGTGAGTAGGCCACATGCGCACAGTTGCAGCTATATCTCTGAGAGTCGCCCCAGGGCATCTGTGGCACCCACGGCTCAATGCAAATCTGGAGACTCACGCAAATAGCAGTTTTCTTCACCTTACTAAACACCTTGAAATCCAAGAGGTATCTTCTGAAGAAGTCAAAAAGATAATTGCAAATATGAACAATTCTGTGGCAAAAGACATTCATAACTTAAAGTATGACCTTGATTAAAAAACACCAGGACAGTCTTCTACAACCAATTACACATTTAGTCAATCTCTCAATTCGGTCAAATACATTCCCACAGTGCTGGAAGCCCGCTGTAATTACACCAATCCACAAGTCAGGTGAAAAGGACACACCCAACAACTACAGGCCAATTGCAATTCTCCCTGTTGTGTCCAAAATCCTGGAGAAGGTCATTGCAGAACAACTCATTGAACATCTTGAGTCGAACCAGCTGCTACATCCTCAACAATTTGGTTTCAGGCGCAAATACAGCACTGAAACAGCTAACTGTTATTTGATAGAGAAGATCAAGGGTCCTCTAGACAAAGGACAAGTAGTTGGTGCAGCATTTCTTGACCTAAAAAAGGCATTTGATACTGTGGATCATAGCGTGCTCTTCACCAAACTCCAGCTCTTCAATATGTCACCAAGTTCCTTGGCTTGGTTAAAATCATATTTGGAAGGAAGGGAGCAGTGCGTTAAGGTTAACGGGGCGATGTCAGCTCTCTGCCCAAACAACATGGGGGTTCCTCAAGGGTCAGTACTGGGGCCATTGTTGTTCACTATGTACATCAATGACCTCCCTAATAGTTGCCAAGGCGCCAACTGCCAGCTGTATGCTGATGATACAGTAATACATCTGTCTGCTAAAACCCCAGCTCTGGCAGCGCAGCAGTTGACACCTGCCCTCGGAAACATCTTCAAATGGCTCGAGTTGGATCACTTAACCCTAAACGTGAAGAAAACTGTTGCTGTGTGTTTTTCAATTAAAACAAAACCGTCTGACAGCCCCTTTGAAGTAAAAACAAACAATGAAATTATTCAGGAAGTAAAAGAGACCAAATATCTTGGAATTATTCTTGACAACAACCTCAAATTTCAAAGTCAAGTCAAAAATGTCTGTAAAAAGGTCAAATCCAACTTGAGTTGTTTTCGATTTATTTATTTACAGGTGTTGCAAATTAGCAGTCTTGCTATAACACTAAAAACAATGTATCTGGTTTGTCCAATGCTATTGTTATGTCCATACCAAATAAATAAATAAATAATAAAAACACCTGCTAAATTGGTGATGTTTTGTAATAAGCAGTCCCCTCGTGTATAAGAGCTGGGCAGCCAGAGCTTTTTGAGGACACGGTCTTGTATGTTCAGCTTATAATTAGATTTGCATGGTCCAAAGGCTTGTTGTAATTATTGTTATTTTGTGAAGTCTTATCAATCCTACCTCCTCTGTCTGGGGCATTAAACCTTCTCCCTCCAGAGTCTTTAGATGAGGTCCATAAATTACTTTGTGGACTAATTTTCTATAAATACAGATAGAGCAAAGTGCTGCATTTTGGATCTCTGGTGTCTTGATAAGCTGCTAGTCTTTAAAATAAACATGAGTTGAATGTAACCATAGCGCCCTCTGCCTAAAAACAATAGTACTTCTCTTTTTCATGTAAATTCAAAACCACCCAAAACCCTAACCCTGGAAGATATCACCAAGATATCCTCAACAAATATGACCAGTATGACAGCCATATCCAGCCATGCAGAGCCATAAAGAGGCATATAGAGCCATATAGAGCCATAAAGAGGCATGTAGAGCCATATAGAGCCATAAAGAGGCATGTAGAGCCATAAAGAGGCATGTAGAGCCATAAAGAAGCATATAGAGCCATAAAGAGCCATGTAGAGCCATAAAGAGGCATGTAGAGCCATATAGAGCCATAAAGAGGCATGTAGAGCCATAAAGAGGCATGTAGAGCCATATAGAGCCATAAAGAGGCATGTAGAGCCATATAGAGCCATAAAGAGGCATATAGAGCCATGTAGAGCCATAAAGAGGCATGTAGAGCCATAAAGAGGCATGTAGAGCCATGTAGAGCCATAAAGAGGCATGTAGAGCCATAAAGAGGCATGTAGAGCCATAAAGAGGCATATAGAGCCATAAAGAGCCATGTAGAGCCATAAAGAGGCATGTAGAGCCATATAGAGCCATAAAGAGGCATGTAGAGCCATATAGAGCCATAAAGAGGCATGTAGAGCCATGTAGAGCCATATAGAGCCATAAAGAGGCATGTAGAGCCATAAAGAGCCATGTAGAGCCATAAAGAGCCATGTAGAGCCATATAGAGCCATAAAGAGGCATGTAGAGCCATAAAGAGGCATGTAGAGCCATGTAGAGCCATAAAGAGGCATGTAGAGCCATAAAGAGGCATATAGAGCCATAAAGAGGCATGTAGAGCCATAAAGAGGCATATAGAGCCATAAAGAGGCATGTAGAGCCATAAAGAGGCATGTAGAGCCATATAGAGCCATAAAGAGGCATATAGAGCCATGTAGAGCCGTGTGGCAATATCAATATCCAAGATCTGTAATCTTCCACTTTGCTCAGTGATGAAGTGATTGTTCATGTTGTCATGGTTCGGCCATACTCTCCTTGTCTCCTCTTATGATAATGTCCTGCTTTTCATTTCCTTTAAGAGCTTGTTTGATCTCAAGAGCTCCTATAAGAGCTGGATCCAATTAAAACTTGTCTTAACCTCCTTTGGCCTGAGTGAGAATGATGCTGCTGCGTTACATGTCACATGTGCAAACGAACACGCTCTGTGTAACACCATCAGAGACTTGCTGCGTCTCATCTGTGGTTACTTGGAAACAAAGGACTGCTATGGCAACTGTGGACCCCTGCTTCTTCAAAGTGTAGAATAGACCACAGAATCCCCTGATTGTTCTTATTGGTCTAAGTCCGAATGCACCACTTTGAACCTGATCACATTAAACAACATTATACAAAGGTTAAAGGTCGTGGCACTCATTTGTGGTCAGGAATATTTTACATTTTATTAAGAACATTTGAACCCTCCCCAAAAAACACCACTTTTGAAATGAACGTTTAAAAAAGTATTTATAATACATGATACAAAGATGTTCTGTGCAAGAGGTTGTGAGGGATGAAATCCTGTACAATATCAACAAAATGATTTGAAATTCTATCCTGAAAGCAGATCATGGCCACTTCAGACCACGGTTTGTCAAACAACTAACTAATATAGCTACTACAAGTATAATACACTGGTTTTCATATACACAGGCTGTATATTGGATTACATATTTATATAAAGTGCAATATGGATAAACACTTACAGTAAGACCTGCAGTGCTTTGTGACCACCACACGCTGCATATGTCTCGTCTACACTGCCGGCCAACTTTACTGAAGTACAAAATGTATGAAAGGATTAATAATGCTTTACAAATATAATTATTTGAAGAAAAGGCTTTTGAATCCTTTCGTTTTTACAAATTCCAATGCTGTAAATAACCAGCGTCAAAGCCTAGCACCACAGACTCTTTTTCTCACTCCTGACTGAGTTTGAAATAACCTGATATTCCCACGAGGAATGGGGGCATCATAAAAAGAGATAAGAAAATATATGCAAGGTTAGTGACTAGATTACATGTTCTGGGTATAGGTCATAGTTTTTACATGTCCTTATAAGGTTTGGAGGTTACGCAGACAGTGACCCAAGTATCACAGTCTCATGAATACAGAGAGCACAGAAGAGGCATCGAGCGGTCCATCAGACGCTGTCCTTCACGACTCTCTCCAGCAGCAAGGGATTCTGGGGCTTTGTCTAGGTCTGCAGTGATCCCTGGAGGAAGACAATAGGAGAAAAGTTCACCATAAAAAAATAGTTTCAATTTCTGAAGGCTTTGAGATAAATTACTATCGCATTTTTGTGATTTAATTCCAAGAAAAAACGTGGCCTACAATTTAAACACATTTAAAAAGCTGGCAGACGTGTAAGTTTAAATTAGTCACTTGTAAAATGAGCTCTATAAATACAGTGGATCGGATTGGTATGAAGTCAGAAAATGCATCAGTCCAGGAGGTGGCGCTACTGCTATGTCTGTTTGATTTGTTTTATCTGAATTTAATTGGACCAAGATCAGAATGAATTTGGATTGAATTTAGATTTCCTCTTTTTGTGTCTCCATTATTTTAAGCAAAGTAGTAAAAATTCAAACGTATGAATAAATATGTCGTCCTTACAGAGTTGGTCCTCTTTCTTTTCCAACAGTCCGGGTTGAGTCTCTTCTGCTCCTCCGCCAGAGCCTTGGCCTCCATGGTGTACATCCTGCGCTCCTCGTTCTTCATCTTCTTCCACTTGTCGCCCAGAATGACACTAATGGCTCTGAGGAGAACAGAGCAGACAGAGCAGACAGCACATCACCCACTGGACACATCCATACGTCTGTCTGACACTCTGCCCTCTGCCACAGTCGGGGAGACAAACTACTACTATTGTTGCTTCTTTTTCTATTTTATTCATTATTTCATGTTTAGTGGTAGGGGAAAGCAAGAGTGCTAACCACTCAGCCACTGTGTCGGCCATAATGTAAAAAATATACCTTTGATTAATCATTTAGTTGTTTAGAACCTGGTTATGTGATTTTTATCTCATTTTGACAAAGTGAAGTAGAGAACATTCTATTATGTGTTTGTAATCTCTGCTCTGTTTGAGTCTTAAAATCACATCTCAAACATGTGTCTAAGAATAAAGCTGTTAACATGGATCTATAATAAAAACTGGATGGGGTATTACTAGCTTACAGCTTTCCCACCCATGGGCACAGGGGGCGCCCGTGGTACTGCAGACTAAATTCACATGGGCTACCCAGAAAAAAGTCCCATAGAACTCAATGTAAACTAAAAGAGCTCGACCTCAGCTGACAGAGAACCTGACAGAGAACCTACAGCTTTCGTAAAGACATATTTGGTCGTGTGATCGTGATTTATTTTTGCTCTGCACTTTTCTGTTTGAGTAATTGTTTGTGTGTTTGTTAGTTTGCTGCTACAGTGTGAGAGTCACTGACCGGTTGTCTTTCCCAGGGTACATCTGTGTGTACTCCACTCTGTACTTCTTGGCGAACAACATGAAGGCATTCATTGGCCTCTTGCATTTGGTTGGCGTTGCACTGGTGGCGGTCCCTGAGGTGTGTGCCCTGGATCTGTGGTTGGAGGATTGTGGGGAGTACGAGCGTTCAAGTTTATCACAGTCTGGGCTCACAGCGCCCCCACTGGACAGGGAGGTCCTGCGCTGTCGAGCCATGCTGCTCAGGACGTACACCGCTGAAGAGTCGAGTGGAGTAAAGTCGTAGCTGAGGAAAGAAAACAATGGGACTAATGTCTTAGTGTTTGATGTGCCAACAAGAGTTTGTAGCTTCATTACCTTCTGAAAGTGTCAAAGACAACTGAGTCATCACAGTTTATGGCGTCTGGGTGGTTTGGCGGGAGGCATATGTCCCCGAGCTGCATCTCGTAACACGGGATCCCATGGTGCACCACAGTAAGGCTCGGATAAAAGGAGGACCACCCTGTCGGGAAAACAACAACACTTTTCTTAACTACAAAACTATGGACATTTTTTTTAATGCTACATTCTACAAACCTTTATTCTTCACAAAAAATGGATGATCCAATCGACACTCGGCCGTCAGAGGACTTTGGTCGGGAGAGCCGGGGTCAAAGGTCAGCTTAAGCACTGCCTGACCATAAGACACCGTCTCCTCGTGGCTCACCAGGTTCAGCCCCTCAGATCCATATCTCTGTGAACGGAACATATGAAATGGGGAACTTGAAAAATAGCCTTGCTTATTCTGCCCCCTTGTGGTCATTAAGAGGCATTATTTCCCCCACGCTCCTTTACACACTGAACCTAAACCCAATAGTTAGACAAATTTCCACTTTTACATTTCACATGATTAAACAATTATGAAACAATTATTTAAGAACATGGAAAAAATGTACCCACAATCTTGTTACCGTGGTTAATTGGATCATTAATATACTACTTAAAAAATGTAATAAACTCTTTTGCCAGCTTGTGGAACTGGGCTTTAATATCAATTATGTTTTCAGATTACAGTATAATAAAATATAGCAATATAATCTTATTTTGTTATTGTGAAAAGTCTGGCACATTGTGGATTGTATTTGATTGTATGATGAGTTTTGTTCTTACTTTCAGCGACATTGAGGGCATCATAGTTTCCTCGTCAGAATCATCGTCAGAGTACCCCAGCTCATCTGCTTCCTGCCACTCCACATTGGGCCCTCGGTGGAAACGCAGCCGTGTCCCTGGACAATAAACAAGGTGAGTGTCCTGAGTTAGGATGTAGTACTGCTGTTTGGACAAAGAGGAAAGAGACTTGTGGCAGAAAATGAAAACTCCTTAAAAACAAACAAATGCAGCTGATTATCTAATGCTTGTTTATACATATTTACTTTATTTAAATACTTTACTGTATTTAAAAAGTAATACGGTGGTATCAACTTAAGACGGAGTCAAAACTCAAAAACTCACTCTTGTTTTGTCATATCATACTAAGAGAGCAATGTTTGAAATGTTTTAGACCTAATCATCATGAGTGTGTTGTCCTTCATGAAGCTGCCAGAACAGGTTTTGTTTACACTCTTGACATTTGCCTAAAGGAAAAACTACTACAACCTTTGGACAACGTGGTTTTAGTGAAACAGTCACCTTTGAGAAAACAATGCCATGCTGTTGTGGGCCAGGAGTGAGACCAGGCCATGTCTTCATCATCGGAGAATGAGGAGGACATTGAAAAAACTCCGGATTCGGATTCGCTGCTCGCCTGGAGATCATGGTTGAAAATTACATTATTTATATACTGTATAATTAGATCATTAGAGGTTGGAATAGGCTTTAGAAAACAATACAATAGAGCTGCCTTAACCCCTTACCATCCAAACAGAACCAGAATGTCAAAATAAGGATCCCACATTTTTTGATTAATTAACTGTACTCACTTTGTTGATAATCCAAACCCATAATCAGTAAAACTAACAAGTAAATACACAAAAATGACTACAAACAAACCCATTCAACAAAATTGAGGAAAGCTTGGTATCCGCATTTTCTTCTTTAAAATGCTTTAAATGAGCCTATTCCCATCAATCATGTAATATCATCATGTAATAACCACTAAAACTAACTATGTATGCTGAATAATGCTGTGTTGCCCTCAGGAACCCCCATATCAGCCGAGCTCCAGATAGAATGACATTTGGGTTTCATTTCAAAAGGGAAGGTTACCCGCACACGCCGGCGCTCCCGGAGATGGCCTCTGGATGGGTTAGGTGCACTGCTGGCTAACGGGGGTCGAGCATAGGAATGTAAACTATTACTGGTTCCAAAAATGTGGACTGGAGAAGACCTGAGGATAAATCTCATGTAAGTGCACATTCCTTATACTTGTTATTACTCATTCACCAACACTTTACGATATGAAATGCAAACCTTTTGTGTGGGGCGTCCTTCAGCAAGGGGCTTTGGGGGCTGGTCGCGATTTTGGCGAGTTCAGCGAGCCAGTTTGTATTGGGAGAACAGCTGAGCCCCTGATGAGACTGCTCAGGTGTGACATGGAACAGGTTCTGAGACGTCTGGTCCTCCTCCACCTCCTGCAGCTCCGGCATGTCATCTGCATATTTAAGCACTAGTATATAACCATGCCTTTCATTTGACATTATGTACAATTATTATTAACATTGAGCACGTACCGTATTCCATATGGCACCCAGGTGAGGAAGGCAAATCCTCGTTACATTTAAGTGGGTCAAAAGATTCATCCATTCTTGAAATTTCCTTTCCTTTGTTGCTTATCTTCAGGACACTTTATTTGAGTTTCTCCATTTAATTTGGCTTCAGATGCTAATTTTAGGCACAGAAAAACAGGATATATTCACAGTCTATAGGTCATACTGCATGCTGCATGGTAATAGGTTTGTTGTTATGTCCTGTAAGTGTTTTGATTGGATGTTTTGCAGCCCAGTGGTTACAGAACACTTATGTGAGCCAGCGCCATCCTTTGTCTGTGAATCGACTTGCTGCTAGACCTCTGAGGCTGGTCATGTGACTCACTGCGTGGAGGCCTTGTTTATAAACTTATTGGCTCTGACGCATGCGCAGTAAAGCTCATTCATTCACCACTGCGTAACATAGGAGATAGGTTGACGTTTTTGTTCCCTCGAAAGTGCTCTTATGAGTTTGGAAGACTCGCGATCGACATAATGTGCATCAACATTGAACAAATGATTGAAAAGGAGAGGGAGTGGTGTTGTTTTTGTACGTGGTTGTTATTGAAATAAAATCATGCACATAGAAAGAATGGATTGAGATACAGCTGTGAAATAGCGTTCTAAGATCAAACGCTTCTGATGTATGAAAGTAGCACTAGCACTGGGGACATTGTATTGTCCAGAAGGGAGGCTATTACACGGTAGTAAATGGTAACAATGTATCTGCACGACATTTAAAGAGGCGATCTGGTGGTTTTGACTTGTCCAAAACCTAAAGCTAAAGGCTCTCGGATCTAACAGTAAACAAAAGAATGTCAACAAGTTGAGACATGACGCAACCGCGCTGTCCCGTTGAAAATGAATGACAAGACGTGATATAAGCTTCCAAACGGCGTCTTCAGCAGAAACCATGTCGTCGTGAAGGATTTGAACACACATGAAATCCAGAGAAACTACTGTCGATGAGAATTGTGATCATCAAAACATCGCCTCGAAAGAAAAAAAAACACAGTCGAGCCCTATCTGCAATTTGACACCAAATAAGTGCATGACAACGCCATTAAAACACACGGGTTAGCGCGTAAATGCATAAAGGACGTATTTCAGCAGCTAATTGTGACTTTTATCTTTGTATTTAATCGAAAAACTAACAACTTCCCACTTACCAGATCTGTCGCCATCAAGAAAGTCTCTGGCATTCACTCGGGGGGAGGGACAGACTGGTCTTAAAGCCGGCCTCCTATTGGTGGAGCACAACATCAGTAACGCAAAGGACGTGATCCTATTGGCTCGCTCGATTGGGAAAAATAAGGAGGGCGTGGTCTGGTTTGTTGATCATCGCGTCATTGGATAGAAGTGCACGCCTGTTACCAGCCTGAAACAGCTGATTGGAACAACAGGGACAATGCAGCCTTATTTTAGTATCTGCAAATACAGCAAGAAAAAGCGCCTTTATCTCATGACAACGCGTTAGGGATGTTTAAGTAGTTTTACACCTCAGAAATGACTACTGTAGCTTAATATGTTGTTATTGAATGAATGGATAAATGAATGAATTTTAGCATAAACATGAGGATACAACTGAGGGATTGTATTGTCACTGTTTTTAATGTACTGTGATTATTTAGGATTTTAATCTTGTTTTTTTCTTGTTTTGTTAAGCACTGCCTTATGTATGGGTGCTATACAAATCCCCTTGCCTATAAGAAAACAACATGGGAATAAAAAAGATCTTTAATGACATGAAAAGTGAAACATACAGTGTGTTTAGCCATTACAATGGGATATGCCTTCAAAGCCAGCACAACTTGCACAAAAATAAATAAAATAAATATGAGAAATTAATCACAAGGCATTGATTATCCAGTCAGTTTGAAAGAAAAAATGGGGAAAGGAGTTTTATCCCATTTGAGGGAACATTATTTTCCTTCTGATACTCAATGGAAGAAGAGGTAGCAGTAATCGATAATAAATGTATGTTTCACAACACAAAGAGCATGTCTTAAAATTGTACGGTAAAACACAGAAAATATAGTTCAAGTAACGCCGCTCATAATGACTAGTCTATCTGACAATATGAAATGAAAAGTTGGCCTAGAAGAACAGTTAATAAGCTACTAAATTTAAAATGCACACATATTTTTGCATGTTCTTACAAATTCGTCAGCTTTTTTTTTATTCTGAAAAGGCAGAACCGTCATAAACACCAACCGACAGTGATTCACAGGTCATGGATAGTACCTAAGGGATTCCGTCTAAAAAATAGAAATCGATCGAAAACAAAGTGAAAGTAGCCAAATGTGCGCACATGTGGAAGTTTTTCTAAATAACACATTTTGCTCACAAGAAAGTGACACAAAAAATTAGCTTTGGCATCTGATTGAAACACGTGGTTTTGGAAATGTACAACGTTTTAAATGCTGTGAGTCGCGGTGGGAGGAAACGGTTAGGAAATCAGTAAATAATGCGGCTAATACTGTCAACATATGCACATTTACACACTCTCAGGTGAGATTTTGTGAGAAATCTAATTCAATCTTGGAGCACCTCAGCTTTGGCTTTAACACTGTGGCAAATGCTGTTCAAATTTAGATTTCAGATTGAAAGTTACATACAGTGCTTGATAGGTCACACATCATACTAAATATTCACATTTCGTGTTTAGAAAAGCTCTCTCAAAGTAGTTCCACAGAAGCCGTTCCTTCTTTTCCCATGATGCATTGTCCATAGAAGAAGCCTCATGCACTTTGTTGGATGTCAGTGCTACAGCCGAACAGCGCCACCAGCTGCTCTTCATAGTTCTGAATGTTCCTCTTCATGATGTCCATGCACGGACCCAGCAGCCGCTCGAACGCCTTCACGTCCATCACTGCAATCGTCACAGCATGTTGTCAGAAGTGATCAGAATCCCAGACTGTACAACGAACAGTGAGGACTAACGAAAACCGCCGACCCGACCTCACATGTCGTGCATCGGTGCAATAACTTGAACTAATGTCAAAATGTGCAATATGCGTGTGTGTGCTTGTGTATATATATTATCATTATGTTTTTATTATTTTATACAGTTATTTTGTGTGTTATGTTACTTTATGTTCACTTTTCGATCAAAAATGTAAATACAAAATAAAAAAGTGCAATATGAAACCACATGTGTCACTGTCACCATACTTAGTCAGGTTGTCCCATACCCATCTGCTGCTAACATGTACAGATGTAAACAACTATTTACGCTATAACTTGCACTAGAATATAGAATAATATATGCTTCTGTATTATGCTAAAATCAGATATTTTGTACTTAATTTTTGCGTCTTTTTTCGCTAAAGTTGGTGATCTTAGATTTGTGTCCTTATTCTGCTACAGCTAGAGATTTTATTTTGTTTTAGTATAGAGTTATTGTTCATGTATCTTGTGCTGTGTGCTCCTCATTCCTACTCTTCTGTAATGGTGATGCAACACTGACATTTCCCCACATTAATAACGATGTAATAAAAATCCATGTGAATAGTTCCTCTGTCTCAAACATAGACTGTATATATTAACGGACAGAGTCACGCCTATCTCCGCCGTTCTAACTAATGGGCCAAAAAATGTGCTCTACTGGAGCTATCCAAAATTGTGAAAAAACGCATCTGCGCATGCGTCAGCCGGCGCAGCTCCATTCATTTGAACGAGAGACTTCAAAAATTCACAGCGAGTAAACTAGAGTGGACCAAAAAAATCCACCCCCTCAGCATTGACACACATGTGGAACGGAGCTTTGGGCCAAGAGCCAACTTTTGGTCCATCCTGTAAAGACGTTTTTGAGAGGTCTGCCAACGCTATATGTTAGCATTGGCTAATTCTTCTTCTGGGTCCACCCCCATCGGCCCGGGGTGGTATTGCAAGCATGTCAGCACACGTCATTTTGGCCACTTTTGAGCTGGGACCCGCCCCCACTGGTCTCAAAACAGTTTGGTGTATCACATGCATGTATTCTTTAGTAGACCAGGGACAGACTGATCCACCCTTACTGTGTGAAGGAGAGGTTACACAGGTCTTTCCTCCCTGCTGCTGTCAGACTGTACAATGAACACTGCTGACCTGACCTCACATCACGTCACGCATACAGTATGTGCAATATTGTGTCAGAATGTGCAATATGGGACCACATGTGTCCACTGTCACTTTTAGCCCAGAACTGCTCACATGCTGCTAACATGTACGGTACATTAGCATTGTCCATCTGTATACAGTCTATGACCATAACAAAGCAGCAACAAAGCTGTCACTTTTAGCCCAGAACTGCTCACATGCTGCTAACATGTACGGTACATTACATTACATTACTGCTGCTTTGTTATGGTCATAGACTGTATACAGATGGACAATGCTAATGTACCGTACATGTTAGCAGCATGTGAGCAGTTCTGGGCTAAAAGTGACAGCTTTGTTGCTGCTTCACCATAGCAACTTTTTAGTAGATTCTCATTTGTGCCAAACTGTCTGTGTAGCACTACTGAATCATAATCATGGTGAATACTTCTCTTATTTTACAGTGCAGAGGTAGGTGGTCAAAAAAAAAGGCATTCTTTAAAACAGGAAATGCATTTTTACTTGCTGACATCACCATAACACAACTTGAGGATCCGCGTTTTGTTTTTAGTGTGTTTAAATGTTGTTGTTTTGCCATATTTTTGTATTCCCATAGTATGTCATTAAGCTTTTACTGTACATCTACTACATCCAAGTCATTTCACCACGCTCATATCTGTGGAGAGGATAATAAATAAGTAACGCAAGATATATAGCACATCTCCATGGCAACAAGCGCACCCAATAAGAAAAGTTTCATGTAACTAGTTCCTCTGTTTGGTTTATCACTAGTTTTCACATATTTTTGGCCTCTTTGACATATTTGAACCAGATTCTCTTTATTTTTCAAAGGACCAAGGGACTCAGCCAATCAGCTCTCAGTATGTAAAAGGTTTTCTAGATCTCTTCAATCCATCTGTTCAAGATGAATACCATACATTGGGGCAAGAAATATTTATTCAGCCGCCAATTGTGCAAGTCCTCCCACAAGGTGAGAGATGTCTGTAGTTTTGACAGAAATAATGTGGAAAAACATGTTTGGTTACTAATTTTTTTGCAAATTCTGGTGTAAAATAAATCAATACTGCTTCATTGTATGCTAGTATGAGAGATTTTATTTTAGTATAGAGTTATCATTAATTTATCTTGTGCTGTGTGCCTTCATTCCTTCTGTTATGTAGCTTGTGATGCAACACTGACATTTCCCCTCTGCAGGACGAATAAAGGCTCTCTTAATCTTATTATCAGGACTTTGTTATTTACTCTTTCTTGGCAATGACAGAGGTCAGCCCCAAAGCATCATCTGCATGGAGGAATGGGCCAAAATACCAACAACAGTGTGAAAACCTACGTACAATGTTTGACCTCTGCCATTGCCAACAATGTACTGATACAGACTTTTATCATTGACTAAATACTTGTTTTCCATCATAATTTCAATCAATTATCAAATAACGTTCACATTTTGTCTCTCATAGTTGAAGTTTGAGGATAAAAATTACAGACATCTCTCGCCTTTTTAATTGGGAGGACTTTCACAATTATTTGCTGACAAAGTACGTTTTTGTGGTTTGATTTGTTCTCAAAATGTTACCAAAGCCTTTGTGCAATACTCTGGTCTTTTATTTTTAATTTTTTTTAGCTGAATATTAATGATTATCCCCAACTTGACAAGCTTTGGGAGATTTAGATCTAGGTCGACTTTTGATCATTGTAGCGAGTCATTTTGACCTGAGGATAGCACAACGATTACAAGACTCTTAGGACAAACTAAAATGTTGTTAATTATGATAAAATGAGGTACTTTTTGCCACAACATCCCAAGAACGTTTAAATGCATGGTTTAAATGATGAACTCAAAGTCGCATACCTAGACATTTGACATTCCCCACTGCGTATGCTGAGGCCGCTCGAGGTTTGTTTGTGACCAGTGCTAACTCTCCAAAGTACTGTCCCCTGGAGCATGAGGCGATCTCCACCTCCTCCTCCTCCTCCTGCTCCTTTTTTGTCTATTGCAGAAAGTATAAAAGAGGAAAAACATTCACTAAATCAAGCAAAACGACAAAAAATATACAAAACAAATGAATAGCATGAGAACTGACCCGGCTGCGCTTCATTGTGATTCTAACTTGTCCAGACTCCACGATGTAGAAGCAATCTGCTAAATCACCCTGGAACATACCACAAAACAATAATAACAGTAATTTAAGTGTTGGGGAAACGATTACATAACAACAGTTCAGCCACATTTTACAGAAGAGAGCTTTAAGAATCATCCATGGAGCCGGCTATAGAGAACAGACAATTTACTAACATTTTCAGATCTGGCGGATTTGCAAACTCTACAGGTTCTATACAGGGCAAAGTGGAAGGATTTACCTTAAAATGTACCGAGATTTTTTTACTGAGAGAGAAGGAGGGTGCTGAGAGGAAAGCATTAACATTTCATATCACCAATGGTACACAGCAAAAAGAAAAGTTTTTGTGTTTAAGGGGTTGAACTGTGGAGCAGGTTAAATGAGCAGCTCCAGCCATGTCCTAATATAAAACAAGGAAAAGATATAAAGACAATAATTTTGAATAGATTATTTGTTGGTTCATGATGCTATTGTACAATCACAAGTCACTAATGCACTAGGATTGAAAAAAAACCAGCACTGCTATTGCCACAGACAATACTTTAAACCATTCTTTTTGCACATTCTGATTCTATCTATGCCAAATGTGACATGTGCACATTTCTCCAGTGTGAGATCAATAAAGTCCATCTTATCTTATCTTATTGTAGAAAAGTAGGAAGACATAAGTACTTGTGTTTTGTAGGAAAGTGTCAAACCAAAGGAAGTAAACAAAAAAATCTCAATAGAAAGAGGGGGTGGGAATCAGTAAGTGGTCGGCTTCATCCCACTCCTTTTCAAGTAACAATGAATTCTCTTTGTTTAACTCCCTGTGTTCTTACGGCTGCTGTGTGCTAAAACTAAATTGACAAATGTATACGCAAAATCAAAGAATCTACCTGAGCGATTATCTGCTGTGTGTCACTATAGATTCTTGTGGAAATGACGTCTACAACCTTCATCCTTTCCGACAGCTGTGGATTGAAAAAAAAATTGTGTTACTTAACGGCAAATGTGGAAAATATGGGCTCAGAAAGACTGACCTCCAGAGACGTGAGCAGGGGTAGTGTCTCCATAAACGCTTCGTACAACTTCCTTTTCTTGGCGTTATTTTTTACGATTATCCTCCTGAATGTGAGGCGATCCTAGGCAAGGCAAGGTTTATTTGTATAGCACAGGTCATGCACAAGGCAACTCAAAGTGCTGAACAAAACAAGACAGAAACAACCAGACAAAGACATTAAATCATCCTAGACATACAACAAAAAAAGAGTTTTGTATTGATCAAGTTTTGTAATAATATAATTGCCTCATTAGTGGTTAGACTGGGCTTCTAATTCTGGCGTCGCTGTTTCCTCCTCAGTGACCGAACAAGTGGACGTTTAATGACTAGAAATTGTGTTTTTGTGCAAACACAATAAAGAAGCATGTACAAACTCCTGCAAAGCCTAACAGACAAAACCTAATCATTCATTCAAATTCAATACCAAGAGACACGCAAATACAAATCTGACTAACTAACAAATGACAATAGTTGTAAAAATATTTTCTCAACCTTCTATGCTTGAATCTTTAGCTGAATTATAATCCTATAATTACACTTAAGAAACAACAGCATGCTCGGACTCTTTTCAAATCAGTACCCAATGCAAGTTAGCAGTGTAGAGTAGAGCTGTAATCTTTGAGCTAAAGCCTGACCCACTCTGAGCCCGACAAAAACTGTTTTTTTTTTTTGCTGGAACCCGACTACAGCCAGACAAGCCCGCCTCAAACAGACTGCATGCCTGGATGCTTGGCATCTTGATCTTGGCCGCTGCATCAGTCGAATGCTGCTGACACACAGAGGGATCTTGGGGGCGGAGCTACTGATTTGGCCCCTCCCAGTTGAGAGGAGCGCGTGATTGGACTGTCCCTCTCTAGACTTTGTATAGAGGGGAACACAACTCTATACACATTTAAAATGTTATTATTTGATGGCCCTGGATGCATACGCTTTTCCAGGAGCGAGGACGAAAAATTTAGAAGATTTGAACTGAATACAAGCGGTTGACTCTACTCTTCATGCAGCGGAGTGAGCGGGGGTCACAGAGAGACGGGGACACTAGATTATAATAAACATACGTTTGTCAGAGATTGAGGTGAAGAAGCAGACTTATTTCATGCATCTTGACAAGACTCTGACTCAGCCCAAGCCCAACCCGAGCCTGAGTTATGTGATAGAAATTAAGCCCGAACCTGCAGGACCCAATCGGGCTCGAATCAAGATCTTCAGCTTTAAAATAGTTACAGTGATGGCTACAATGTTTTATGTATTATCAATATGTATGAATCTGTTGTGATATCTTAGTATCGAGCCTATGTATCGTTCAGATAGTAGCAACGTCTTACCAAAGCATGTTCCAAAACAGCTTCCTTATCTGGATGCGAAAGCCAGATCCTGTTAGACCTCTAAAGTTAAGTAGGGAAGGGATTGGTAAGTACTGTGATGGGAGACCTCTGTGAACACCAGGTGCCAGAGTGGGGCAGGTTTAAAGTCATGTCCTGAGGCATTACACTACACACACATTGCCTAAAATGAATCTGGTGTATGTGTAAACAATTGGCGGTGGTTGAATGGGCCAATGGCACATACTGCTTTCCTCACTTCTGTCAGTGTAGTATTTTATCACCACCATGCATAAAGTGAAAGAATTATGGCATGAGCGAGTGTCCAAAGCGCAAAAGAAAACCGAAGCATAAAACCTGCTTTGTATTACATCTCAACAATAATCCTCAAATAATATTATTCTAGTGAATGATGCTTCCCACCAGACATCAGCGCGGTACTCACCAGACACCACAGCGCTCCAGGACTCGTGGCCACGATGGTTGCCGCTCTGGGGGTGTTGTACATCAGTGCCAGTTCACCAAAGCTGCCCCTGTTGTCATAGCAACCCACCAGCTTCTCCGCATTCTCCACTTTCACAAATATGTTAAACGTCCCGCTGCAAACAGAAAATTCTGTGTGATTCTGAGAGGAAGTAAAGCCTGGAGAAAGATAGTGAATGTTACCTTTGAATTACATAAAAATTATCTCCGTCGTCATCTTGATCTATGATGTGTTCTCCGTCTGTACAAACTTTCTCAAACATGGCGTCAAGAACCTGAGATATCTCCTCCTGTCAATCAAAGACAAATACACATATGTGACTGAACTGACAATGTTATGTATGTATTGCCCAGTGCTGTCCTCAAAAACTTAAGCGTTTTTTAATCAAGGTACTTTTTTGATGTATATTAATCTTTGTTGTAGGATTATCACAAATAACATGACCCTACTTAGAATCACCAGTAGGGGGCAGAGGGTTGAGCTACCAACCAGTGGGGGAGGGCCCCAGCTCAAAAGTAGCCAAAATGACGTGCGCTGACTTGCTTGCAATACCACCCCGCAGAAGTAGAATTAGCCAATGCTAACATATAGCATTGGCAGACCTCTCAAAAACGTCTTTACAGGATGGACCAAAAGTTGGCTCTTGGCCCAAAGCTCCGTTCCACATGTGTGTCAATGCTGAGGGGGGTGGGTTTTTTTAGACCACTCTAGTTTACTTGCTGTGAATTTTTGAAGTCTCTCGTTCAAATGAATGGAGTTGCGCCGGCTGACGCATGCGCAGATGTGTTTTTTCCACAATTTTCTTGTGGGCGGGACCACTCGCGGCCATTTTGGATAGCTCCAGTAGAGCACATTTTTTGGCCCATCAGTTAGAACGGCGGAGATAGGCGTGCCTCTGTCCGTTAATATATACAGTCTATGCTACCAACACAGTCTCTGCATTCAAGGGCAGGCTTAAAACAATCCACTTGAATTCAGCAAATGGCAAGGTATGTAAGACTTTGAGATAAAAAAAAGTAAAAAAAAGCTGTCAGATTGTCAGTCAGGCTGCATATGGAGACACTGTATGGTAACTGCCTAGCACTATCCTCTCTGCTACTCTGTCATCATTATGAGCAGCTGTAGTCTGTTCATTGCTATTCACCCACTGTAGCTATAGCCTGTTTGCCCGTGGGAGTACAACCCTTTCTCAAAGTTGGTGTCCCGGAGGTTTCTTTGTTTTCCTACTGGGTTTTGAAAATATTTTTTGTTGTCGTTCCTTGCCGACGCAGGAGGATCTATGGACAGTGATGATCCGGGACATTTAGGAACATTTTTACACATTTGTTAACAATTATGGACATTGGTCATCCCACTTCAATAATAATAATAATAAATGTTATCACTCAGGGCCTTTCTTGACACTCATGGACGCCTTACATACAAGTAAAAAGTGTATATTTAAAACAGTTATGGACAATACATGGACCTAAGGCTTCTACTGTATGTGTTTGTTAAAGGTATATCGGAGGATTTTTGACTTTGGGGCAGATCCAATTATTAATCATTCTGGTGATACGTGCTTGTCAAATAAGACCAGAGAGTTTTGTTCAAAAAGTGGAGAGGGTGGTTCTTTCTTGGGGAAAATCCACCTATATACCTTTGTTATTGCATGTCCGTGTGTTTGAACTGTTTACTCGGTTGTTGCAGGGAGGCTCCACTTACCGCGTCCAAGTTCTTGAATAGAAGAATGTCCCTACATGCTTCTTGTAGCCTCTGCCTCTGCTCGTCTGTTTTTGGATGAGTGATCTGTGATGCAGAGCGTACACGTGTAATTATAGAGTGACCACTTTCAGCTCTTTTACAAAACAACCAGTCTCACCCATGGCTCCTTGTCCTCGTCGTCTTCATCTGGATTGAAGGCCTCAGCACAGACTGGAGGAGGACAACACAGAGTTAAAGTAGATTTTTATTTTATTTTATTGGTTCTTTTCATGTCTGATGAGTTTGTTGTTTCCTTGTGTGTATATAAAAGAGCAATATGTAAAAATCTGGCTAAAATTAGTGCTGCACTCTCCTTGACTCAGGTTGCCAGATATGCAGACAAATCCAGCTGGAACCATAATAGCTGAATAGACTAATAGCTAATAGAATAGTTTTTTCAACAATAAATCTAGAACCAACACCTTCTTCACAAAGAATCCATGTTTTGTCATTATTGATTTGAGAATCATAACGAGACCTTTTATAAGTACTATTTTCCATTTACTCGACTTAACTATCAACATTTGTGCACATTCGTTCATCCATGATTTCTTCCTTTTTTCCTCTGTAGGAAATCTGATCTTACTAAAACAATAGAGCTGCATGTTCAGAGGACAGGGGGATGCAGGTAGTACATTCATATTGGTTCTCGTCATATACATTGGTAGATTGCTCCTGACACAGTCCAGAATGGCCTCTAAACAGTTGCTTTGAACAGAGTGCACTCACCTGAAGCTCTCCTGATGTATCTGTTGATCACTGGTGCTGCAACATAAGAGACAGCAGTAGCATGTCAGTTCAGACCACTGGAGACATCTCTCTAAAAAGATCTCTGTCTAATTTAGTTCTGACCTCAATCTTATCTATGTGAAGTAGGCCTACTGCAGATGTCATTCTCCACCAAGGGCTGTGATTGGCACGTGCATGTGCAGTCAGTATGGCCTGTGCTGTAGTCTGTGTGGAGGCTGGATGGAAGCTGTTTCTCTTATGAGGATCATTAGTCTGTGTTTGTGTATACGTGTGTGTACGTGTGTGTTTGAGTGTGTGTTGTCCTGGTCTTTATGTAGCCCCAGCCCTCACTCTTTGGGATGCTGTGTCAGAGCTCTGGTTGCTAAGCTACATGCTGCACCTGTGGTACCTTTGTCCAACATGACCCTTGTTACATGGAGCTTGACCCTAAATCCTGAATGAACGTTGATTTGAGACTTGCGCAGCCTGATGCAGCCTGATGCTGCCTCTCCTCTTGTGATTCATGAGACGGAGGTTGTGGAGGCTGTGGGAGAGCGGCCCAGCAGGCCTCAGCTGATCACTGAACCTGCTGCTGTCTGTTTGTGACAAACATACGGCTCCGAGCGGCCGCGGACACAGGCCGCATGTCCTTTACGCACAGCACGTATCGGTGCTGAATGCACCAGGACGTTGTCACTGAGCGCAGATGCTCCGTGCCCATATAAGGCCAACGACAGCAGCGTGAGCATCGGGCTGAGCTCCACTGCTCACGGCGTGGATGTGATGCATCCCCCGCGCACAAAGCCCCGTACGCGCTTATACCGTTACATGCCCCAATCACTCACATTATTATCTTTAAGACACACACAGACACACACATGCAGACATCAGTAAACCATGCAGCGCACCTAAGAAGTCCCCGTCATCTTCGTCGTCCTCCTCTCCATTTTCCGAATCAATCTGCATCGCTTCGTCAATGAAATTGACCGCCTTTCCAATCCTTGGGGCCGAATTTTGGTCATTGCCAAACGAGGCCTCTTTGGTCTCTCTGTCCTTCAGCTGTGTGAAGTATTGTAGCGCGAACTCGAGCAAATCCCTGGGCTGGTTCCTCAACACTTCCACGGTAAAGCTCTGTAACAGCTCCGTCAGTCCTTCAGGGATTTCTATACTCATTCCTGGTCCCAGTCTATCAATGTGGACAAAAGCGGTTTGTGCAGAGTCCAAAAGTGTGCCTCGGGCTGCCAGGGGTAGATGAAGGTGCAGATGGAAGTGCAACGGGCCACGCAGCCAATCCTCGCCTTTTCTTCAATGAAAATGGCTGTGGATTTTTGGTCCAAGCATCTTCAGCTGCTTCTGGCTACAGGAAACCCACGCATGTGACCCAGGAATCCATGGCAACCACCTATCCAGGGATTGCGTATGAGCAGCGAGGCGCATGGGCTGCAGCCACTACAGAGGAAAGCGCCTTTTCACTCAAAACGCAACACGTACAAGAGAGGTGGCAGTCCAGGCTGAAAGATGTCTCACTCTGTGCATCATATGTGTCTTATCCGCGAAGACTACGAGCGTTACGACATGCAAGAGGGCTACTGTACGTGCAGCTAGCAGTGGAACGCTGCATGGGGAGGAAGATTTTCACATTTATGCTGCTAAAGTCTCAGACAGTCTTCCTGAAAATGTGAGACAGGCTTTTTCTCTGACAGTATTCAAATCCACATACAGTTCTGTTCTCTGCTGTGGATTGAACTGATGGTATCTTCACTCTGTTTAATGGTCTGTGTGATTATTTATGATTTTTATGTATTGTTTGTGTCTTGTTGCACTTTGAGTATGAACTGTGCTATACAAATAAACTTGCCTTTCCACAGCATGGTGGCCCAGCAAATACAATATGCTATGTATGTTTTTAACTCTATTTCTAAAATAATGTACACAGACTGCTACGTCTCATATGTATCAACCATTATATCAATCCCTAAATGTCCACAAATTTCACAGACTCAAAAGTCAAGAATATATTTGGAACTCTTAAGGTCAGACATGGGCCACAAGTTGCCTTGCCCAGAAAATAAGATCAAACAAATCAATTCCAAGACCTAAAAACTGTAGTGATCCATGTAATATAAAATAAACAAATATAAAAATTCTATGTCTTATGGCAAAAACAATAATGATTTAACTTAATATAACTCTGTCTTTGTGCATCACGTGCATAATGCAAAAGGCGCCCACAGGAGGCTGTAAGTCATGTTCTTGTTAAATATTTTAAATGGAAAGACTATGTGGCATTTTGTACTGAGTTGTATATGTTCTGAAAGAGCCACATTTGAAACAATTAAACACTTGGACAATGGACAGAAAGATAAGATAGATACAATCATAGGCTTTAGTGAAGACTAAACACACTGGGTTGTTAGAAATCCTTATGGCCCTGTAAAAAAAAAACACACATTTACAACACACATATTCTAACTGACCAGAAGATGCTGTATGTGGAACAAGAAATCCCACTGCTCCTGACCGGTTCTGATCCACATTTGACCCAAGAGCGCTTTAAGTGGAAGTACACACTGTGGTGGTTAAGTTCACTTGAGTGGACTAACACAATTGCATAGTGATATTAAAAAAAGTACATAAAGTATAGTTGCAAATATATAAAAAATATAATAAGTTTATAACAACATTAGCTAAGTACAGATACCAGGAACAAAAAAACAATTCTGTAAAAATGGTTAGAAAATGTTCACATGCACAGACACCAAGGAAATGGGACTATAATGACTTCAGAGACACAAACGCAAATGCTCTCCGATTCGGCTTCGTATCCTTTATGGCAAAGTGTTATTACCAAATACGTATGTTTTAAAATACTTCCCAGTCCAGGCACACTACACCTCATGTGTATGTTTTTATCATTTTTATCTTTCTTTTTAATATACTGTGATTATTTATGATTTTAATGCTATCTTGATTTGTTCAGCACTTTGAGTAGCCTTGTGTATGAATTGTGCGATACAAATAAACTTGCTTTGCCTTGTCTATATTGTCAGAAAATGTAGTGACCAAAACCCTCTGTTGTCACTTTGTCAGCCTGGGCCTTAGCTTCTGATTGACATGCAGGTGAGAAAACGATGTCCAGACTTACACATATGATTTGGGGGATTTATTATTCACTTGTTCCACAAATATCCACAAGATTTATCAAGTGAACGAATCACCAAAAGCAAATAAGTATGAAATTTAACTCAAAATGCAGTAGTGCAGTCAAAAACTGTTTGTCTATGAACTCCACCTCGAGGTGCGCCCCCAGTGGACCTAAACCAAAACCTCCCACACTCCATTAATAAACACAGTAATAAAAAAGTAGAAAATAAACGTTTAATTAGCCAAAACACAGGACAATAGTAGTTAGATAAATTGTCCGCGAAAAAATAATGAATTAGACTGAAATGCTCAGGTGTCATGTCGTCAAACTAACTTGGTCTACAGTGCCATCTGCTGGATAAGCTTGATATACATTTGTATTTTGCACTGCACTGCTTAGTTGTTGAAAGGTTTAACTGAGGTATATTTCATTTAACTGTTATACTGTTACTGTCTTCACAGAAGGAGACGGTGCCTACCATAATGATAAAGTAGATAATGAGAACATGTAATACATTCATGCAGTGTCCTCATCAGCTGTTCTCCATATTGTCTGTGCAGGAGTGTAAAGGGCAACGTGACAGATGTTTGGTTTTATGTATTATGTGTTACATTCTTGGTCACAAATATAATATTATTATTTTAGGTATTTACATACGAAGTTAAAAGGTATTCAAAAGTATAAAAAATCTACTATACAATTACAAGAACTTGCTACGATTAAAGGAACAATATGTAAAAATCTGGCCAAAAGTGGTACTGCAGTCACAGTCAATATTTTGTAGTCCTCTCCCACTCTCCCTGACTCAGGTTGCCAGATTCACACCAAATCCAGCAGCAAACACAGGGAATTATTTTATCAGTTGTTTGTCCGTCTCCATTCACATTGCCATGACAGCCGTGCTAATGCTGAATGAATGTTTTGATTAATGTTTTTTTATTATTATTATTTGGACATTTGAGATAAAAAACAAAAACAAAATAAAAGCAATGTAATTATACATAGTTTATGCAAAATAAATAAGTAATTGATGTCCAAAATAGGAGTGGGAAGAATGGATGTTGGAACGTATTTCTTCAGCGTATCAACATCAGGGTTTGCTCAAGAGGATATCACCTTTCAATTTTATTTATTCCCTATTTTTTAGACAAACATGTAAAAGTTCCACATCAAAAAGAGACTAACATTATTTTAATTGGGGTACATGTGGTCTTAAATGATTATTTTTACAATTAAGCTATAATCTGCAAAAAAACGTCTTGACCTTCATCTTTTCCCGTTTTTAGAGCAATCTGTCATAGAATGTGATAACATGCAATAAATACAAAAAGACATAGCCCGGGATCGAACCCGTATTACTGCATCGTAAGCGCACAGCTTAGACCACTAGACCACCGATTCACACGAATGAGACACTGTGAAGAACGGAGTCAAAATAGAAAATTCTGCATCACACGTGAACTTTTATCAGCTGTCTCAATTGTTCAAAGGCATCCCGATATAAATCGTCGTTTTAGTCTTTGTTTTGTCATTAATGATTTGAGAGTCATAACAAGACCTTTTTTAGTTCTGTGCCACATGTTATTTTACGACTGAGATTAATGAGCCGCGCGGAGTTCTGGCAACCCGATCACGGACTTACATGACACTTCCTGATTGGCGAAACGGCGGAGGGTAGGACATCAAAATCAAAACAATAACAACTTTTACGGGTCGTAAAACTAATTTTGATAATCAAATATCTCGGCTGAACTACTGTTATCAGTAAAAGATGAATTCGAAAAGAGTATGATTTAATAACGCCTTTTGAAATATTCGGGTCATTTAATGATGACTTGACATGCAAATATTACATATTGCTCCTTTAAACTTTAGGTCAACATGTAGCATACATTTTTCAAATGTGCAGTTTGTTTCCTGGTGTGGTGATGGGACCCATGAATCCCTCTCTCCTGCACCTGTGGGCTGGTCTCCCCTGGCCTGGACTCGTGGACTGCACCCCCCTCACTGCCGAGAGCACAGCCTCAGTCCTCATTCTACAGCCTGAGTCCTGGATCTAAATAGCCCGCCGTTCATGGGAGCCTCTTTCAATGTGTCCTGACAGGTTTCTTACTTATTTTCCAGGACATTTCAGGACAATGGTCGTCCCGCTCCCTATGGACCATGGCTCCATTATGTTTGTTATTACATTTACTTTGTTTTGAATTGTTAAGATTCTCTGAGCTGTTGTTGGTGAATCAACAATTGTGTAAAGTCCTGATGACTGCTGTTGTGGACTAGTGCTATACAAAACTAAACTGAATGGAATTCTAGCACTGCACATTAAACTTGCTTCACACCAAACCCAGCAGCCTCTGTGGTCATTGAGCGTAAGGAAAGAGAGCGACCACACAAGCTCTACTGTTTCTACTGTAGTGTAGAGACAAACTTTACTTAAGGATTCATCTATCTCTATTATGGGTTTGACTTAAGTGTAGTTACATCAAAACACAAAATTCACTAAAATGAGTCAAAATAGTGTTAGAAAAGTGCACCGTAATTTACAACCTATAAAAGCAGATATAATTGTAATCACATTATCACCAATTTCTTTCCTGCATGTAATGAAACCGTAACTCATTGTGTAATTGTGTAATTGTGGTTGACAAATCAAAGTTTGATTAAACTGAAATGAACACAGTGGCTGCCTCTGAATAGTTAACGCACAAAAGTTCTGAGTTAAAAATGAGTCTCATATCACGACACCTCAATCATCTATACACCTGTTTGGACGAACTGCATATGTTGTTTTGTGCTCTCTCTTTTAAAGTTACATTCATATCAAAATATGGACCAATTGAAAAGCAATCTGAAAGACTTGTGAGACCCCAAAGCAGACATTGCAAGCAGGTTAGGAAAAAAGGGAAAACATGTATTAAGATCAGTCTTCCACTGAAGGATCTCCTCAACTCCTCTACAGTCCTGTGCAGTGGGAGGTGTTGTCCATGCTGGAGGTGACTTTGAGTACCACCCTCCTGTCCCTCACCTC